GCAGCCATGTGGGGCCGCTGTGTCTGTTGGGTTGCAGCCCCGGCTGGGCCGTGCCCCCCCTGCCAGCCCCGGCTCCCCGTGCTCCCACTTTGCTCTCAGGCCATTTCCATCCTCTGCTTCTTTTCATTTTTTTTTGTTACCATCATTTTTCACTTTTATTCTGGGGAAAAGTGCCGGTGGAAACAGAGAGGAAGGTCTGGAGAGCTTCGCAGGAAGCGCTGATCCGGCAGAACCGGGCCAGAGTCCTGTCAGGGCACGAGGCCCTCATCGCAGGGGCCAGTCGATAAAGCAATAAGCACGGGGGGGGGGACCCACTTCTGAAGTTAGTTCTCTGGTGCCCCGTTCTGTTGATTTCAATCTCATTCTTTTTTTTTTTGTAAAAGAAACCCCCTCCAGCTTTTTTTAAGGTTGCGCTTCCAGTGTGTCAGTGTGTGGGCGGTATTCAGACAAGGGGTGGGGAGGGGGGGGCTCATCTGCGGAAGGCGGACGATCACCGTGGGATGCCTGGGGGGCACGCTTTCATGAGAGGAGCCCACTCCCCCGTGCTTTGGGTTTCGGATCGGCTGAGTTTGACACCCAGCCTTCATCTCTGTAGCGTGGGCCCCACCCTGGCCACTGGACCACCATGCCCCCCCACCCCGTGAAAACCTCAAAAGCTAAACAGATATACTTAAAGTTTCCGCTAATGCACTTCCAGGTAACGAGGTTGGGGGGGGGGGGGGGGTTAAATCAGAGAGAGGGAAAGACAGATGCGAGGGGTGGGGGGCCATGGGGGGGGCAGATCGATACGAGCTCGATACGGACAGGCTGCATTTAGCTGCTCCCCCCTCCCCCCCCCCACGGAAAGCACTTGATAAAGCCCTTAAGAGGGGGGACTGCGGATTACCTTTGTGATTGATTTCCGCTCCAGTCAGGGAGATTGCAGTGTGGCTGTTTTTCTCACCCGTGGCCAGCCGGGGGGGGGGGGGGGGGGGGGGGGGGGGGGGGGGGGGGGGGGGGGGGGGGGGGGTGGGACGGCTGAGTTACTGCGGTCCGCTGCCCAGGTTAGCTCTCACACAAATTACTTCACGTCCCACTATTAGCCATGCAAATGTGGGGGCCGCTTTAACTGCACCTCGTAAATAACCATGGCGTGAGGTGGTGGGGGGCGTTCCGGGTTTGGGGGGTGTGCAGAATAAAGAGATGACTCAGAGTTTATCGATTCCAGCCCCATCCCACCTCAGGATCACCACTCGTTAAACTTAATCCACCTGACGGCATTCGTCCCCTGGGTACCAGCTGTCCCTTCCCAGAATCCCCCTCTCCCAGAATCCTCCCCATCACAGCCTGCACCACCCCCATGCGTTTGCACTGTCCCCATCAGAAACATGCTCACCTGAACATCCTGTATAAAAAGCCTGGCCCTCACCCCTGTCCTCCACCGCGAGTGTTGCAGGGATTCCATCTACATGGTGAGCCCCCTTGTAATAGTGTAGGCGTTTTGCTGGAATCCCAACAATAGAAACCCAGTTGTACCTTTAAGCACCTTGCTGTTTGAGTGTACAGGATCCATGACCTTGCCTTGTCTCCTTGTGCATCTCGCAGCCCCCATCGCTGCAGGGACGGGACCCAACTTCTCCCTGGCTGACTTGGACAGCTCCTCCTACTACAGCATGAGCCCGGGGGCCATGCGCCGACCACTGCCGAGCACCTCGTCCAGCAGGTACTACATGATGGAGGCAGGGGGCGGGGCTTGGGTTGAGAGGGTGGGGCTTGGGCTGGGGGTGGTGCTAGCTGTCAGTCGGGTTGGGGTTCATTGCAGGAACAAGGAAGAAGGACAAAGGGGACAGGCATGAGTCAAGGTAAACATGGGCTGTCTCTACTGCCCCCCCCACCCCCCCCCCCCCCCCCCCCCCCCCCCCGAGGGGGGGGGGGGGGGGGGGGGGGGGGGAGAGACCCAGAGTCCAGGTTATTTCACTGTCCCGCACANCAGTCGGGTTGGGGTTCATTGCAGGAACAAGGAAGAAGGACAAAGGGGACAGGCATGAGTCAAGGTAAACATGGGCTGTCTCTACTGCCCCCCCCGCCACTCTTTACCCCCGGAAAGTGGCCCATCACGGACTCTCCTGCCCTCTGGCCTGATGCCACCGCTCTGCCTGACTGCAGGCAGGTGGACAGACCATGTGACCACGCTGACTGGGTATTTCTGGGGCACCCCCCTCCAGGCTCGCGGCATGTGTGTGCATGTGGTCAGGAAGCCCATGCAGGGAAGGTATAACACGCAGACGGGGAGTGCTAACTCCTCAGCGCGAATGCGTCAGCCGCGGCATGGCTGGGGGCGAGGGGATGGTGTGGGGCGTCCTCTGGGTTTGCGTTACGCTCTGACCCGAAGCGGAGGGGTGGGGGAACAGTGCAGGAGTGTCCTCTGGGCCTGCTTTACGGGCCAACCCGAAGCGGGGGTGTCTGCTGGTGCTTTTGTCATGGTGTCAAGATCTGACTGACATTAAAATGGCAGCATCTCTTACACTTGTCTTCAACACCATGCCCTCATGGAGCCCTGACCTCTGTACGCTGCAGCCCGGGCCACCTCTGCACTGCTTGGGGCGCCCCCCACAGGCCACTCTGCTTAAGGGAGCTGCTGTGATCCCTGCTCTTGATTCGGGGCCAGAGTCACTGCTGTTTAAGAGGATTACCATTCATCTGGCCTTTACTCTGGGGAGGGCTGCTTATTCATGAGGCTCTGCCCCCCCCCATATGCCCCACCCCGGTGCAGAGCCCACCGGAGGACAGGTGGATCCAGAGGGGTCGAGGAACAAAGCATCCCTTTCTGTTTCCGTTTTTCGGGACACAAAATTATACTGTGTGCGTGTGTGTGTGTAAATTATGTTTATATTACATTGTGAGGACCAAATGTTCCCCACAATATAATAAAAACCTTTTGATGTTGTGAGGACAATTTTTCAGGTCACCACAAAGATCTGTGAATGCAGTCAAAAACCTAAAATTGCCAAAAGTATTTAGTTTGGTTACTTATGGTCAGAGGTGGACATTTCAGACCCAGAAAGTAAAAATCCAAGCCAGGATTTTGTTTCAACCAATCAGTTGGGCATAAAAAGTCACAGTGACAGAGTACTCAGCTGGCTGGTTGAAACAAAATCTTGGTCTGGATTTTTACTTTCTGGACCTGAAATGTCCACCTCTGCTTATGGTTATGATTAGCACTGGGTTGGGGTTCAGGCTGTAATGTTGGGATTAGGGTTTTCCCCATAGAAATGAATGGAGAGTCACCAACTCCAAACGTATATTTAGCTACCTGATTGTCACTGCGGTTATGCCAGGCCAGTGACCCCCTCTTTGCCCTCCAGCTCGGCAAAGCGAATCAAGTGCATGGAAGACGAGGTGGACAGTCCTGGGGAGGAGTCCTACTACCCTGGGCAGGGTCGCTCCCCCGGCAGCGGCAGCCAGGCCAGCAGCTGGCACGACGTGGAGCCAGGTATGTCCTCCAGGGCCCCTCCCACTGCGCCCCCACCCCCTCCATGCCTAAGGGGGGGGGGGTGATGGGTATGTGTGTGTGTGTGTATGTGGTGTCTTTCACTAATAACAGAAATGTGACTGTATAGCCTTTGTAACGTTGATTGCAACCTGGTTAGCAAGAAATATGAAAAACAAATACGGGCCTAATATTTGTCGATTCATGTGTTTTAACAAATCTCATCTTGGTTCCTCACATTTTATCAGAAATAGTCAATAGTCCTGCTGTTGGCTGCATTCTTAAGTTTCTTCCAAAACAGAACTTTCCAGACTTGTCGCTTTATTTCTACATTTTTATTTCTTCCCCTTAAACGCCTTGGACTGCTAGCTCACCTGAGCAAGCAGAAACCAAGCTGCTTGTGAATTAAAAACCCATTTTTATGAGGACCATAAATCTACTGGGAAATAATGACTTTGACATGTTTGTGTGGTAGTTTTCTGTTAAATGCTACATGGATACGGTCTGTAGAGAAGGCTGTGAGAAGAGCTGTCCTATGTGCATCTGTAGGTGTGTGTTTATATGTGTTGTTTTATGAGTAAATGTCTGCACATTTCTGTGCTTGTTTGTGTGAGGTCCTGTGTGCAGTTGTTCCTGTCTGTTTGAGTCTTGGGGTCTGTCTTTTTGTGTGTGACTGGTCCTACCTGTGAATGACTGTTTCTGTCTGGGAGCACATCTGTGTGCGATTGTTCCTGTCTGTAAATTATGGATGCTGTCTTGGGGTGCATCTTTTTGTGTGTGATTTTTCCTGTTCTTGAATGACTGTTGCTTTTTATGGGTACATCCTTCTGTGTGCAGTTGTTTCCATCTGTAAGTTATAGTTGCTGTCATAGGGTGTATCTTTCTGTCTGTGATTGTTCCTGTCTGTAAATTATGGTCACTGTCTAGCGTGCACTTTTTGTGTTTGATTGTTCCTGTCCTTGAATGACTTGATTTCTGGGGGTGCATCTTTCTGTGTGTGATTGTTCCTGCCTGTGAATGACTGTTGCTGTGCGCAGGTGCATCTTTCTGTGTGTGATTGTTCCTGTCTGTCACAGTGCGCTGTGGGTCCGCAGTGTGTCCCTGCTTTGGGGGTGTTGCTGTCCTGCGGAAGTCACCGCTGTGCCTTGAGCTCTGGGCTGTAAATCCATCCTCTTCCCATTCTCCTCTGGAGCCTCTTACATCATACCAAATTCACCCCCCCCCCCCCCAACCCTGCTGGACTCCGCACGGGAGGGATTACACCGGCGGTAGAAGTGGAAAATATATTTACAGAGATCTGCTGATTCCAGCTCCTAGGACATTAACATATGGCACTAAACACAATCACTCTTCCTGAATGTTGGCCTTCAGGTTTGACAGGGGCTGTAAATATAGAGTCGGCCTCGCCAGGCGACTCTCTGTCACAGCCGTCTCTGAGCTGCGTTGACGTGCACGCCCGGGCGTCACCTCGCGTCCCCGAGTGTGACAGAGCCCAGCAGATGCAGCTGAGGACCTTACAGGAGTCTCTCAGCTTCGCTTCTGCTCCATCCGTAACCTTCCCAAGCTCAACGGGAAGCCAGCGGTGACCCCTAACTTTAGCAATGAACTCCGGATGAACCCGGAATATCCCAATGAGCGACACGGCTGAAGAGTCTCCTGTCCGCCGTTGTCTTCACATCCCTGCGAGTGGCTTTAATGCGTAAAGGCCCTTGAGGAGATGCTGCAGTCCAGGTTCGGATGTGCTTTGCTTTCTGTAGCTCGGGTGTCGTGCCCGTGAGGACGCTCTCTTGGGGTTGGTGGGTTTTCCCCAGCTATCTGCTTAAGGGTCACCGCGCCTCCGCACCTTGGCTCTCGGAAGGCAACAGGATCTCCCTGGATCTTCCGTGCCAAAAGTGGAAGGCTTTGAAAAGTAAATCCTTTCTCCCCGGGTTTTGCAATCAGATTAAACATCGGCGTCCACCAAATAATCTCACGTATGATCCTGGGCTTGCTGTAAAGGTCCCTCAAATGGCCAGAGATGTTGTCCGGCGTTCAGGAGGCTCCTGTATGTCGTGAATGAAGTGTGGTGGCATGTGTGTCTCCCCTGCTCCTCCTCATACCCCCCCACCCTGTACCCCTTATGCCGCGGAGGTCCCACCTCAGACAGTGAGCGCTTTTACCGGTGGGTCCGGTTTCAGAACTGCAGCGATCCAAAGCCCCAGCAGCGCAAAGCAATGGGAGAACCAGCCTCTTCCGTTGCGGCGAGGTTGCGTGACAGTTGGGTCGTCAGCCGGACCCACCTGTGAGGGTGCGGTGCTTGGGGGCGGGAGGCGGGTTTGGGGGGGGCAGCGGCTTACTGGTCCCTGTGTCAGAGCGCCTGCTCTGAGCTCTCTGATTCGGGAACGTGATCCAGCCGCGAGCCTCAGCACAGGGAGCGAGGGAGCGAGGCCCGCATGAATAGTTAATTGCTAAGGTAATGCTGGTTGCTCTGAGGTATATTCACCTGCCTCTTTCCTCTCCTTTCCTTTCCCCCTGTTTCTTTCTGTCTCTCAAAGCTGGATATAAGCTACGCGGCTCGCTAGCTAATACGTTCATCTCAAGACAAGGTAATGAAACATTAATGTTTACAATTTCCCACCGCGTGCCGGAGAGCGAGCGAGCGAGCGAGAGAGAATAGCTTGTCGTGGTGTCTTGTTCTGTGGGTGTTTTGTCCAGGTACACGTTCGGCTGGCGTGACTGTGTGTAAGCAGGGCCCCCCGCCCCACGGGTGGGGGGGGGGGGGGGGGGGGGAGAGACCCAGAGTC